AAAGGATTCAAAGTTCTATGGAAAGGCTCCATAAATTCAGCGCTGTGCAGCGTAATCCTTTATGCAAATGGTTCACAATGTAGGATGTCGCAACTTCAAAAGCTGCTCTGTTCTTGTTGCACCAGCGAGAGGATGAAAACATGTTCTTTGAGGTGCAATCTCCACAGCTACCTGAAATGAATTGGTTGCACTTTAAATTCAACAGATGGCAGACATGTTTGGCAGATAAAAACTATTCATATTTGTGAAGCCTTTACACTGTCACACATCATTTATAGTGGAGTTTGTCTGTTCCCGGAACCAAACTTCAATGGTTGCCTGGTGCATCTCGACGGTCCAGATCAGATGGAACAACCCGATTACTATCATGGTTTCATAAAATCCCGTATTGACTGTTTTGCTGAGTATCACAACAGTTTTGATTTCTCACCTCTAGCAACCTGTCTCCTGCCTTGAGGCGGCCATCCTGGATGGCAGCTCCCCGCGGCAGAATGTTCTTCACGTAGATGGGTGCTGTACCTCCGATGGGAACATCTCGTGATGTTATACTGAAGCCGAGTCCCTCAGGGCCTGTGTGGATAAGAAGTAAGGGCAGAAGGTGTAAAGATGGAGTTTGGTTTTATATTGAGGCACATGCAAAGGCTCTTCAATTCCCTTTGCACTGCTGCAACTCAAGGTCCTGAAGCTACATATTCAGCTGACATTATTCTCCTAAATCTGATGTAATAGAATGCAACAATACTGGTCAGGGTTTGGGGAGACATTTGGAGTTAAGTGGGTTGTTTGATAGGGAGTAAAGAGTTGATATTCAAGAATAGACTTTTCCCACCTCAGTAGAAACTACAGAGCCAATTGGTGCCTCGCTTTTTTACAAGTGCACAATTACATCCAGCTTTTCCTGCAGAATTGTATAATGCAGGTCGCCTACCTCGTCTAAAATATAGAGAGCCTCCGCTAATGTCAGAGCAAATAAATAAATATGCTCTACATCAATAGGTGCAGTTGTTTGTTAAAGCCATTATCAATTAACTCCTCTGACATCGAGAGACGATGCATCAGGATCTGTCTGAATCAGCTCAGCGTGCAACTGATTGATTAATGACATCCAAACATTTGCAGAGATTAATCAGTAGCATGTCACAATGTTGGGAAAACGTCTTCTTTAACATTGGAGAGAAACAGTGCAATCAGTGCTACAGCCTTCACTATTCAGGTCATGGATGAATCTCTGGAAGCAGCAACAGTTTGCCTTTAGAGTTCATTGAAGTGGAAGTATGTGATTCATGCCATCGATGAACTGCTGATGCAGTAGCTGTGGTGCACAACCTGTTCTGGACGTCGCCCCTTTTCTTCTGCCAGAGTTTTCATTTATATTTTGCAACAAACAGAACAATCTACTGTACATCCAATAGTAGCCACTATTCAGAGCCACCTGTTTGGAGAGAACACAACAATGACTCTCACTTTTCTTTCTCCGGTAACCTGGTGCTTACAGTACACAACATCCTCAGACGCTGCTGATCCGTCTGGGCTTATTCATCTGTGTCTACGTGGGCGGATGTGATTTTGCTTGTTTACATTGTAAGTTTTGCCTGCAGTCCCTTAACAGTGCATCATTATGAGCCATTAGGAGTGCAGGCCTGTATTTCACTTCATCCATATTACCAACAAAAACAACGTCCTGTTATTAGACGAGGTAAATAGAGCGAATGAAGAAAAACCCCGTATTATGTCAACACCAAGCTAAAGGAGGTTTATGGTGAATAATTAAAGTAGCCTACATTGTGAGGCTTTTAAAGTCTGAAGTTGAACAACTTAATAATTACATGCAATTACACTGAAAGTTCAGCCTGAAGACTTTAAACACTTTTGCTCGGTATTTAATTGAAGCCCAGAACGGAAAACAACCTGTGCTAATAACATATTACACCACCAAGGGTGATCAGAGGTGTGACTACGGTGCCGCTGTTTCCTTCCTGCACGTCCATCAGTGTCAACATAGTGATGATCAACACACTTTAAGAAGCTCCACCTGTACAAGCATGACATCCTGCACTCTGCAACACGCGGCTACATGTATGTTTTTCAAAGAGCTTTGTAAAGAAAATGCTTCAAATGCCACTGTGAGTAACAAAAAAGGTGAATGTAAGAACAATAATGAGCATCCTTGCTGTATCAGAGCACTGGCCTTAATCCTCCCTGCCTGTCTGACTGAGCTGATGCAAAGAATAGCAGAACACTTAGCCATTCTGTTTCACATCCTCTACCTAATCCCCTACATTGATGAGCCAATCAACTTCCCGCAGGCAGGCGAGGTGCGGTATTATACTCACCGGTAAATGCCTGTAGAGTTCCTGGCTTTAAACAGGGAGGAGGATCTTTAAAACTCCCATTAGCTTGATTAAGACATACCTAAGCAATTTCCTGTGCAGAATAAGATTCTTTGATTGATTTTGATACTCCCCGGGATTTCAGAGGAGACCAGTGTCTGATTCGGGCACATAAACAATGCAGGAGTTTAATCTGCGCTCAAAGCTTGTGGGCTTAAGTCGGTACTCAAAAAAAAAACAAAAACCAGATGAGCCAAACGGGCCTCTCGGGAGTCGCTGTCAAGTGTCTGCTCCAACAGCAGCAAACAAAAGGTGGAATGAGAACAGATAACATCTTTGACTGTGAACATAACAGATCTCCTGGCATATCACGTGCACAATGCAGTGTTTCTTCTGGGTACTGCAACCAAGCAGGCAGAGGAGTGTGAGAATAAGAAAATACAAGAATAAGTGGAAATAGCCATCAGTCAGGAATATGCAACAAGCATCTGGAGGTTTTCATGTTTTATGTTCTGGCTTGATTCCAGTGCCTCAAGAGAGGACAGATTTCGGTGCAAACTTCAACGGGCATATGGTGCAGCCCTGTCAGACTCTTTGCTGTGGCATTTGACAGTGCACAGGGACTAGTGGCTGCTTAGCAACAAGCTCTCTGGCCCTGAGACCTGGCACCGACACCTGGAATCCTGTTGGCAGAGGTTTGCACCACCTGTGCCAGCTGTCAGTCAAAGCCCACGCCGAGGAGAACTCCCCCAAGTTTTAGTCCAAACGCTGCCTGTTGCTCCACACTTCCATCCACCAGATTCTGTTTGGTTTTATTACCTTCACTTCTCACATCAGTACGTTAAACCCTGGATGTTTCTAAGCCCATTACTTCACTGTTGGTATTTTGCACGCTTTGGTGTTTTCACCATTTCTCAACAAACCGCTCTTACACTTGTTTTTGATGTGCCGGGAATGAGGAAATTGCTTGTTTATTCAGCTGAAACACAAAGATTGGGGGGAAAAATACACAGCATCCCTCTCATTTTTGAAAGCCAGAGGAATGCAAAGCTTGAGGAAAGACTTTCACAGCCCCTCTGGAAAGAATCAGATGATACTTCAAAAACAAAATGATGTCATACATCATGGAGGGGACCGAGATTACTTTGTCCCCCCCCACCCCACAATAACGATAAAGAACTTTTCTGATAATGGATGTTCCAAATGTTTTGTTTGGTCTTAAAGATCTTTCCGAGGTCTAGTGACTGTTACCGTCTCAGTCAGATAAAAACACACAAGTTTCATTGAAGTGCACAACAAGCCTGGGACGGTGATGCAGTCCTTGTCAGTCGATGGTGAAATCTCATAATACTCGTCTGCTTCCAGTTAAACATTTGACCTAAACTGCAACAACATGCTCTGTATGTAAAGTTTGTTAGTCATGAGAAATTTTCTGTCTATGTGATTTTTCTTCAACTCACCTTTCTTTAGCTGGATGTTGAGCCTCCTGCCAACTTTTTTCGTATATCCCCCACTTTGGGTGGAGTTTACTCCCCTCTGAGGCGAGTGGGTGTGGCCTGTCGGAGGTTTGGCTGCAGACACCGCAGGATGTGTTAAAGGCGGGTAACCATCAGCCGGCTCGGGGTAAGGATGGGGATGAGGGTGCGGATGGGAGTGTGGGTGCGTTTGGGAACCGTGCCGGGACATTCTTTGCGGCGTGTGGTCGATGCCGGACACGGTGCTGCCACTGAGGGAGTCCGGGCTGAACCGGCCCGAGGCATATGCCGGGTTTCTCTCGGCGTGGGACAGCTGCTCGTAGTGGGCCTTCATCGACGACGGAACCACGTGGAACATGATGACGGGGGAGCGCATGGCTTGACGGAACATATTCTGGGCTCTGGGACAAAAAGAGGTGGAAGGAAGAGACAAGGAGAGAAGATAGGCAGAGGGATCGAGAGGGAGAAAGTAAAAAGTTCAACTGATTTCAACCTTACATAACATCACATACAGTACAGTCATACTTCTCTGTGCAAACTTGCCGAGTAGAGAACTCCAGCTACCCCGAAGTTTCTCAAGCACACACATCCGTGCTATATATAAAATTCATCTTCGCCCACCTGAACATTCTGACATGTTAATTAATACTTATTGCCAGCGTGAGCGGCTCTAAAAAGAGACTGAACCCTCCCCGACAGCTCCATCACATAATCCCCTCATTTGGCTGCAGATGAAGGAGACCTCTATCCGTCGGATACTTTGCAGAAAATCCTCTTTTAAACCCCCCCCCCTCAGTGTGAGCTCATGTACAGTAGGTGTGAATGGAAACTTATGTCGGCTGTCAGCGCCTTGTAAAAGCAGAGCCTTGTTAGCGCCACCTGTTTCAATAAAGCTCACTTTGGTATGGCTCTTCCCTCGCTTCCCTCGACAGCTGAACGGACGTTTGGGAAAATTGTTGGGTCTCCAGAATTTCTATTGCTCCCCATTTCCCCCCTGATTGACAACTATAACTTGGACTGTTGAGGAATTTCTTTGAGAAATTCCAGGTCCGTTTTTCTAGCCACTAACAACCTTCCCCGAGGAGGAAGGACTTGTCACGGCATCTTTATGATTTCAGGCTGGATCAAGTGTCAGACAAGGCTGCTCCCTTATAAAAATACTGTTAAATAACAAGAGCAACTGTTGCACTGATGGACTTGTAACAACACTATGTTTGGAAGCTTTATTCCCACTCATCACGTAACTTCAGGCTCCAACAGCAAGCGTTGGCTGGGGCACTGTGACATGACTGACATAAAAGGGTTGGTTCATCCAAATTATGAAGTTTCTCACCGTCTCCTACAGGCGAGTTTTGGTCTAACTCAAATATCTATTGCTACTGAGGTGAAACTCCATTAGTCTTGTGTATGTGTTAAATTGTCATCATCCAGGTCGTTGTAATCCAAGGTGCTTAAGTAAAAGGCAACTGGACTTCTCTTTGTGGTTTTTGAAGACATTCCACCTTCATCCAAGAGCAGTTTTAACTGTTGCAGAATCCTATCCTGAGCCCAGAATCACATGGTTACAACACCCTTTATCAGGAAGTTAAAACAGTCTTGAGATCCCTCAGCAGACAGCCTCACCACCAGTAACATCTCAAAGCATGAGAGTGTTGAATCACAATCGGTCCTTTCGTCGTGTGACTTTGTGGTGAGAATAAACACCTAAAAATCCATCAGTCAGCTAGAACTAAAGAAGCCTCTTCGACGAGAAGCGAAAAGTGCACAGAAACCAAAAAGAAAAGTCCAGTTGATTTGTACTGAAGCATCAAAACCTCCACTGTGTTTGAGTTGTATGAAAAAATCCCAAAGCTTCAACCAACAAACCATAATTATCTGCATGGCGAGATACGCTGGAGCTACATGGAAAAATATGGGTGTTTTTGTTTATTTTATAATTTGTGTGAACAGACCCCGTGGATCCCTACATTTCCAGGGACCATTGAATCCCATGGGAGAGCAATGCATCATCATTATGTATCCCCACCAGGTCATGTGTGGGTGGAACTTTGCATAATGTATTACATAATGTATATCGGTCTGGAAATGTATATTGCATTTGGAATCACAGATGTATTTAGTATACATTTATGCTGGCCTGGCAGGAGAAAATCAAACCATACGTATGCATCACTGCATTTCTGATATTGCAAGTAAAACTGTACATACAGCACCAAAGTATGCATGCATGCATGACACTGTGTTTAGAGAAGGGGTGAGTGGGTTTGGTTTGGCAGGCAATGAAAGCACGAGACATGAACCGCACTGAAAAGCAGAGATAGTGAATGTTAGGAGCCTTATTCCCCATCCCTTCCAATGGGAAGAAAAGAGGAAAAGGTGCAAGAGCAGGAGTCCAGTGGAGCTGTTACGGAAACACAGGGGAATAAAGGCTGGGAGGATTGCAGGGACCGCTTCAGCAATTGAGGCTGTGACCTACAGGAGTTAAATAGGGAAAGGTTAGCTTAGCACAGTGACAGGCGGCGGAGGAGCCTGTACGCTGGCAGGAGAGCACAGAGGAGGGAAACAAGGCATGAGGGGAGAGGATAACAGCTGAAAGAATGGTTCGGGACCACGGGTTTTAAAAAGAGGGAAGAAAGCAAATCACACAGGAAGTTCAGGGACCACCGGAGCTCAACAACGGCCCCTGTGAGCGGCGGTCTTACTGTTCGAATCGGATGTTTCGCAGGTCTCCGTTATTGATACGGACGATGCAGTCGTTCTCCTGGAAGAGGCCCTGCTGCTCGGCCTTGCCTCCCCTCTCCAGACGCTTGACCAACAAGCCAAGAGTCCTGAAACGTTCAAAAGGTCATGTCAGGAAGATGCAACACGGGACAAAGTCTGTAGATTCTATAAGACCTGAAGAGGCTACGGTGGAGAATACACTTTATTGTTGGTAGGCTGCCTGGTTGACCCTACCACTGGTACATGCTCGTCTCATACATTAAGCCATGCAAGTCTAAGTACACACATGAAAGTGCAAATGGTTCAATGAATCAGGTATGGTTCATTTCATGGTCTTACAGTGGTTGTACAGTAAAACCCATTTTAATCTATGATCGTTTGAATTTATCTGCCTCATCGAATTTTCCATAAAAATCTGCCTTCTTAGATTTTACCCACACGAGCTGGGACATCTTTACATGACTCCCTGGTGAAGACATTTTGGAGCATTTAACATTAGTTACACACAACTTCCTCATATATATTTAACAAACTAAAAAAGTAGCTTAAAACACATATAAAACCGACGAACAAGCAGTTTTTCAGCTGCTGTTTTGACTTGTACCAGTCTGGACAACAGTGTAAAGTATGCAAACCATCACAACGTTAAACCAGGGGTCAAATTTGCACATGTAACATTTCCATATTTAAATAATCAGCTTAAGCTCGCATTCAGAAAAGTACTCTTTCCCTGTATTTATCACAGTAAAGAATGAGATTTATGCACCAGCATGAATGTTTCCTTGCTGAAAAAAAACAACATTTTTTTGTGTTTCGTTACCAAAAACACCCTTGCGCACTGTTTAAGTTCACCCAAGGCTATAAAATCTCAGTATTTACCACTGAATGCTTTGATGTGCTGAGGTTTTTGTATTATTTATACCGCGATAATCCATTTTTGATTTCCCATGGTCAGATGACAATCCAAGAATCAAGTCTTTGTCAGGCTAATGAAAAGCTTTCTCTGTCATAAATGGAGGGCACTGCCTAATTGCTGCCTCTGCTTCATCACGTGGCGCTGGAGACGAGGCTACAGTGCGGTCCTGTCATCTGCATCACCAGCGTACCGACGAGGCTTATCAGGGGGAGCAGTCACGTCGCATCAGGGTGCTTCAGAGGCTGTGTGGGTTGGAGGCACCTATTCAAAGGCAATCAACACGCTCAAAAACTCAACCGTACGTCTGCCGGGGTCGGCGCTTTGCATGCGTTGATTGTCTACCCCCCTTCGTCCCCGTTTTTGAGCAAAAAAATAAAGTGGCTTCGGGGAACGGCCGATGAAAAACAGCAGCATTAAAGCCCCGATAGTTTGGAGAGGAGCCGGTCTATCGTATTGGAGCACTTGAGCCATGCTGAGCTGCAACGGTTGTCGGCCTGTAATCTGGTGTGGCAAACTGGCTTATGCTTCCCCGCACAGCCACAGCGAGAGGCTAACTTCACCTGAAAAGGGCGCTTTACGGATTATACACCAGAGTCTGAGGAAGAAAATCAACCATAGGCAGGGAAGACGGCACAAACCCTAATCGAGTCCTCTTCGGTGTATAGTCTGTGTCTGTGTGCATCGGGGCTTTTCTGGAGGTAGTATGAGCGAGTGTCGCCGAGGTAAATTGGGTTGATTTTAGGCTTTAATACTTGCCCTCGCCCGAGGCTTATAATTCAATATGAATGGGAATGTGATTACAGGGAGGGCAGAAAAGTTCAGGAGTTGAAGAAGTTCAGAGACAATTCCGCTGATTGAATTTGAGTGAGAACACAATGTGATTTGCTGCGGAGGGGGGCCATTTCTCTGATGAAAGCTGGGCATCTTAATCTTGGTGTAACGCCCAAACTGACATTTCCCCAATAAAAGAAAAGTGCATTATAAATGTGCTTTTAGGTTGATTAAGTTGGGCAGCGAGAAAAGTGATATGATCTTGATTTTCAATAAAGTGCAACAGAGAGTTTGGAGCCGACGATGATATTTGCGAGCCTCCGGGCAGAGTCGCACCGAACATAAAGAAAGTTTGGACATTTGTGGGACTCGCGGTTGGCTGCCGTGCTGTGTTAGGAAATATCTTGGCACTATGAAATAATATTAGACTTAAAATGGGCTACACTGGTTTTATAAACTTTCAACATTCTTTAAATCAAGAGCCGGCGTGTAAACGTCAGGTCTGCTGCTGTACACTCTACTGTACTACTGGACTTTTTTTCTTTTTTTTTGTTCCAAAGTGCTTCATGACTTGGATCACAACCTCCTAAAACTGTCTCTCTGGGTATATTTAAACCAGATGTGAAATTCCTCTAATTCCTTCACAGCTTTGTTCCATGTGTGCTGTGTGTTGTACTGCTCAGTGTATTCTTTGAGTAACGTAAAGCTGATGTGACAGCAGTCACAGAGAAATATGACGGTCACCTGCACACCCTAAATAACCATGATTGATGGCTGCAAACTGGAAAATGGCTTCATGATGCCGACATGAAAACCTGTGTGTGTGTGTGCACATGGTGTTGGGTTTGTGTGATGAAGTGATTACAAACGGGCACAAAACTGGAATGTCCGGTATGCTCGGACATTTTTTTCTCTGTTGGTATGTGTCTGAAGTGATGCTGGTGCTTTTGCAGACTTCAAAAAGTCCAACTCAACACATTTTAAGACCTTTTTTTTTTCTTCTCCAAAAACTAAATTCTTTTATGAGTCTACAACAAAGCTGACAAGTCATCAGCTAAAGTGGGTAAGTGGGCAATTTTCTTTTTTTTTTTCTTAAATCTAAAAGCTGTCAGGTGTGTACCATTAGTTAAAAACTGACTAAAAGTAAAATGTACAAAAGAGATGAAAGGGGGAAAAAAAAGACAAAATGTTGAGAAAACTAATCTTTGTCTAACTAAAGACAAAAGTTAAGATAAAGGGATATAAATGGAATTACACATGGAAGTCCTCCCTGCACACAGCTAATTTATTAGTCCTTCAGTTCTTCAGAGACACCTTTCAAACCATTAATGGCCCTTTACGTTGGTGTTAAAGCCCTGTGGACGCTACAGCTGCCTCGCCCTCGCCTTTACTCCCTCCCAGCCTGTCTGAGCAGCACTGTGGCTCTGCTCTGGATATTTTTACCTGCGGTCCCTGCCACTGAAAGGCACCACGTGGATTCCCAGGGGCCCGCCGTCGTTTGACACCTCCACCAGTTTGACAATGTCTCTGGGAGACGGATGAGTGACAGAGAGACAGG